TCCCGCCCGCGGGGCCGCCTGCGGCAACGGCGTCGTGGAGCCCGGCGAGCAGTGCGACTGTGGGGCAGCGGAGGTGGGTGCCGCGCTCCGGCGGAGGGCTCTGCTTTCTTCTGGTCCCCAGAGCAGGTGTGGGCTGGCAGCAGTCTCGGGGGGTGTATAAAGCATTTCTGTGGTCACACGCAGCGGTGCAGCATTGCTGCTTTCCCTCGGCGCCTCCGACGTGCGCTGTTTGCTGGGAGGACGGGGCTCGGGGCACGCAGCCGTCCTGCAGATGGGGCAGTTTGCAGCAAATAGAGACTTCTGGTGTGTTTGCAGGCCTGTGCGTTAGACAAATGCTGTACTCCCCAGTGCAGCTTCAAACGAGGAATGAAGTGCTCCTCAGGATTATGCTGTGACAATTGCCAGGTAAGGTGGGTTCATCATTAGCAGAAGTTAAGGCCATTCTTAAACTTCGCAGCTGTAGCAGTTTCTATAGCAGCACTGCCAACAGCTTTCTGGTTTGCTCAGACGGGCATCTCCAAAAAAACTGAACGATATTTGTGTTGCATTGCTGTACTGGCTGTCAGGTAAGGCACGTTGTTATAATCAGCACCAGATCATGATTTATTTGGGGAGGAAGAGTATGTTCCCATGCTGAAGGATGGAGACAAACTTCCCGCTGTGCAATCGGAGGTCCCTGGGGTAGGGCTTTCCAGCTCAGCTCCCTTTTTGCCAGTTCAAGCGGAAAAACGCGCAGGCCCCGCCCCGCCGCCGATGCGCAGTGTGACCTGGCCGAGTTCTGCAACGGGTCCTCCGCGTCCTGCCCCCCCGACCTGTACGTGCAGGACGGGCACGGCTGCGAGCACGGCACCGGCTACTGCTACAAGGGACACTGCCGCTCCCCGGACCTGCAGTGCCAGCAGCTCTTCGGGAGGGGTAAGAGGCCGCTCTGTTGTCACTGGCACCAACGTCGAGCTCCAGGGCTGGTCTGGGGCAGAAGGCGGCACCCAAGCATGATGGGTGCCCACCACGCCTGTTGTGAGAAATTGGGAAGTCAGGGACCGCTGGAGTATGCAGGGCAGGGAAGGGCAGAGGAGACCGCAGGATGGATTTCCCTTGCTTGCGGAGAGGGGAAGGGAACCATCACGGGGATTTCAGGCTGAGCGTTGGCACAGCCAGTCACACACACCTCACTGCCTCTCGGGGCCCGAAACACACCCTGATGCTGTTGTGGAAGGTGTTTTGGATGGGTCGGGCCATTCCACAGCCTGTGAGAACCGTCCCACAGCCCCAACAGGGGCAGCTGGTGATGGGACAGGAGCGGTAGCCAAGTATTCCTGTTGGAGGCCAGAGCTGAGAAGTGTCGGAGGCCACAGAGGTATCTTGGCCTGTATCGCCCTCAGCGGTAATCAGCATTATTTCTCAACTTCCAGGTGCAAAAAATGCTCCTTTGGCTTGTTACGAAGAAGTCAACAGTCAGCAGGATAGGTTTGGGCACTGCGGCAACCACCCGAAGGACGGCTATCAGCCCTGCTCCTGGCCGTAGGTTTGAAGGGAACATCAAATGTTGGACTGGGGATTTAGATGTAATTTGCACTTCCCTTTACTGTCGATGCAAAGTAATGATCTGCGAGAAGGTTGCCTTCAGCTTTTCCTCTGCTGGGCGGAATAGATTTGCAGCGTTGGCTCCAGCCCTTCCCGAGGGAAATGGCGTTGTAGGGAA